GAGGAGGCTATGTCAGCTGCACGACGATCAGTCAGCGATGTTGAGATCCGCCGCTACGAGGCTTTCGCCCAGGCCATGAAGCAGAGTGGCGGCAGTGCCTTTTTCAAATTCCCTCAAGCTGGCGAGGACGCTGCGAACGCCAACGGAAACGGATTTGGTGATGCTGGCAATGATGACAGCTTGTACGACTAAGTGGTGAACAGGTTGAGGACTTGCTTGGATGAGAAGCATTGTCCTGAACAGAGTTGAGGCGCATAGGAAGTGAATGGCGTCCAAGATCATGTTCAGACGGCATGGTTGCAACACGGACAGGTTGCGCCCGGTGGTGAGCTTGACACATGTGTCCTTCAGATCATCAGCCGGCCATGCAGAATTGTATTCTACGTTTCTAGAGACATGAAGCTGCACGGGGAAATAATAGAATGCTTGACTTGATATGTCTTTCCAAACCTTGACCATTCTTGCAGCCTTGTGCAGAAATGATGCAAGAGGCGGGAAGGCGGCGGTTCCGGGGCTGCCGGTCGCTCGCTCATCTTCCTCCGTTCTCTTTAATTTCCCGAATCCTCCACCACCCAACGTTCCTTTGTTCTACTCGTGTGACTCTGCTGTATCTTGAAAGTCTTCCGCTCCCTTCGAGCAATTGTATCGATTATGGCGAACTATGGGATATCGGCGCGTTTACTACGCCTCGCACGGCCAAAAGTATGACGGCGAAAGCTGGTTCGAGTTCTGTGCTGACTTCTGTAACAGCGATTCTTGTACACCATGACCCTCTCGACCGGCGCCAGTCTGATCACCCTCTCGATGCTTGTCAATAAACTCGCCGGTCTCTATGGCATCCTCGCGCTGTTCACTGGCTACCACTTATCGCCGTTCCAGCTGAGCATGTACATTTACTCGACCTTCGCCCTCATCCTTACCGTCTACCTCGCACGTCATATCCGCAAGCAATCACCCTTACAATGCCTCGCTCTTGCCTGGTTCTACGTCCTCGATAGCATCATCAATTCCGCATATACCGCCGTCTTCGCTGCGACATGGTTTCTGGTCCTAGCGCAGCACGATGCAGGAACAACAGACAAGAAAGGGCCCGGCGCATCTACAATGGACCAGACAAGCGGCTTCACAGACCCGCAGTACAACGTGTCGAAGGTTGAGGTCGTTGCTTCGCCGCAACCTCCATTGGCGGCGTCGGGTCAAGATGCCGTCGCAGCAGGCGTTCCTGCATCGACAGCCGCAGGAAGCGGAGGTAACGGCGCTCTCCAAACTGCCATCCTGGACAGCCAGAACATGAACTCCATTGGAATAATCATCGCCATGTGGACGATCCGCGCGTATTTCTGCCTTATCATGCTCGCCTTTGCGCGCATGGTTATCCGCCAACACATTGCCTCCACTTCCAAAGCCGGCGTAGACTATACTTCCGCGTCCACGGACTCGGCACTCGCAGAAAACCCTTTTGCAGCATCGAAACCCCAGGGTCAGGGCTGGCGCGGTAAGCTCGGGAGAATCCTCATTGCGATAGGCAGAAGTTATTGGCTGGGCAGTGATGAAGACGACAGCTGGATGTATGGCATGGGTGGCAAATTCAGGAAAAGTGGTGTTGCAGGTGAAGAAGGTGGATTCATGCTCAATAAGATTGAGAGTGGGCCGACCGAGCGGGAGAGGAGGAGACGATCGGGAACAGGCCCGCCGGTGCCTGCGCCGGGTGTTGTGGAGGGCGATAAGATGACTTTGCAGATCCCGCAGGCAACCAATATTTGAAGCTGCAAAGCGGAAGATCGGGAGGATGAGACGTTTCGCCATGAAGCATAGAAGGAGTGCTTCGGAGAAGAGGAGGATGAGGACTGGCACGATAAACAAGCATTGATTCAGACTGGGGCGTTTGGATATAATCTCCTACCACTACGGTATGGGTGGCTCTGGTCTGCACGGCTGAAGCAGGCTTTGCCACGAAGTGCACAGAAGGATGGAACACAGGAATCAAGTCACTTGTATGACAATCTATCTATATAATGATGATGAGGGAGACCTTCGAGACACTGGGTCAATGAGTCGTAAATCTTGAACCATCGGTTTCTAAGCCTGCGCAGGGAGATTAGGCCTCCTGGACCGTCCCTATCGCTGACCTAACAGTGAATTTCAATGCGCCGGAGAAGATTACCATACAATCAATTTGCGCCGATGAGAAATGTGGGTGTCAAGTGTCGCATGAGTGGATGCCAGAAAGGAGTGAATTGAGCACTTCCTCGGCCTTTGTCGAATACAGACATGATTGATGATTGAAGCGATGCAGCCAGCCTCCAAGCACACGCGACGATACATGTACCCCGACGAACAGGGTTCCTCACCCGGCACATCTGAGGATGAGAATCCAATAACCCCAAAACGTCGCTTCGCGTCTCTTGACGGCTTCCGGGACTCCATCTCCAGGCGTCGCGAGCTCAAAAAAGTAATTTCACCTCATGCCGACACCCAGCTACAGCCTGGACAGGTTCGACTGATCTACTTCAAGCACTCCAAGCGACCGAGGAAATGGCCTTCCAAGAGCACCATCGACTGTTCCCGTCACATCTTCAGTCTAGACAATGCTCCTCGCTTCAGAGCGTTGTCGTACACATGTGGACCGCCGTATCTTGAGCAACGCATCGAGGATGGCGTGCTTACACTGGAAGAGCCAACCGAGCTACTGGCCGAATCCAAATGTCGTGTACGATGCGATGGACGACATGTACTGGTCTATTCAAACCTCCACGATGCACTGCTTCAACTACGCCACAATTTGAGACGTGACTTATGGTTGTGGGTCGACTGTCTATGTATCCAACAGCAGGATCAAGAGGAGCGGGCGTCCCAAGTAAAACAGATGCACATGATCTACACTTCTGCCGATGAAGTACTTGTGTGGCTTGGGAAGTCCCTGGGACTTCGCCACGACGTGGTCTGGTTCATACGCGAGTTTTGCGATGTTGCCACCAGATTGCTGGACCCGTCGACTGGTAGGATTGATGATCGATATAAGGATACTGGAATCTTGGACACGAGTTGGCACAGCATCTTAGGCATCACGGATTTCGAGGAGAAACTCTTGGATTTGATGATCTTCTTGAAACACTCCCGCTACTTCAACAGGTTATGGATTTTGCAGGAAGTTGCCCTCGCCAGCAAACCAAGCATCATGTGGTACGGTCGGATGGAAAACTTCAACTGTGTCGTGTACCTCGTGGACTATTTCCAGAAGGCTGGCTGGTTCCGATGGCTTGATGACCGACTCGACGAGAAGAACCTTTATCTCCCCGGCGAGCCCTGGACCGCTCTAGAGGGAATGCGCTCTTCGATCTTACGTTTCCAGAGCTCGACTTTTGAAACAAGCTTCTGGAGGTTGAATACGAGAACGGGCGTTCCGTTGTCGCGAACAACGAGGTCATTCTTCGACTTTGCGGAGCTCTTGCACTACTCGCGAAGCTTTTCATGCTCGGATCCGAGAGACAAGATTTATGCCCTTCTTGGGATTGCTTCACAGCTCAATCAGCATGAACCGCTGGATATTGCTCCTGTTGACTATACTTTAAAGGTGGAAGGTTTGTACACCGAAGTCCAGAAGAGAATCCTGAGGGAGACTCAATGCATTGACCTGTTGTCATTTGTTGGCCGGTCGCTACAACAATCGGATCCTAGCCTTCCCTCATGGGTGCCGGATCTCAGAAACAGTGATGATATAAAGTTTGCTGTTGAGATCTACCTACAACCACAGACAGTCGGGCCCCCACCTTGCTTGGAATTGGAGGAATGCCAGCAATCGCTCTTCTTCGATGGCGCAGCATTGTGTTGTATGGGAGCTTGCGTCGACGAAGTCGAGTATAACTACCGGGAGCCTAAAGGTGGACGCGATCGAACATACGCAAACTGGGTACAGGCCCACCAGGCGACTCTTGATGCGCTGTTCAGCATTCCGGGCAGCTCCGAAGGCCCTTCACCTTTGGCAATTGTGCTTAACACGGTACTCATTGGTAACTTGGAACTGCAAGCTGGCGCAAAGAAAGACGTCTCAGAAGAGGCGTATTTCGATTTTGCCGTGTATCTCATTCTCAACCATGTCTACAAGGGGTCGTCTGGTGACCGCAGCATTGCTTGCACGATTGCACGCTGTCATCAAATGTCTGATTCTATGAAACACTGGGGCATCGCTGGATCTTTGTCCTCACGAATTCAAGACCTGCTCGCAGAAGTTGAGAGAGTAGTCTCAGCATGCAATGAGCCCGATGAAGTCAGAGCGAGGTTTGATGAGTTTCAAGTCAAGTATGATGCGCCGATATCGCGCTTCGTTTCATGGTCCAAGCGAGTCGCAAATACCAGGGTCTTGGTACGAACGAAGAAAGGGTTGCTTGCGTCGACGCAGAACCCGGTTGAGAAAGGTGATCAGATCTTTGTGCTCGCGGGAAGTAGGACGGCGAATATTTTGCGGAAGACGGCCAAGGAAGACGAGTATATCTTTGACGGAGATTGTTTTATTTGGCATCATCAGAAGGGATGGCAGGAAGAGATGTCTGAGGTGCGGAAGCACGTCCGGCCTCTGAGAATCATCTAAAACGCCATTAGGTGCCAGATTCGGGAGTATCGAACAGTCAAGGGAGTTCGTGCAATAGGAGGTCGGCTCTTCCTTCCGATTCACTCAGAATATGACAGTTGAAGTCAGTATTGCGCTGTGCATGAACCGCGGAGGTCGTCAGTCCACATTGTTGTTCTCGAATCTTGGGGCTTTCTCCTGGTAAGCTGTATGATATGTGTGGGCTTCATCCTATATACAACCGTGTCTCGAACATTCGAAAAAAAAAAGAGCTTTAGAAGAAGAAACGTTCGCTCGTAGAGAATATATTCTCAAGATTCTCAAGCTGGGAGGTATTATAGAGTATAATCCTTAATGCTAAAGACGTATTGAATTTCTACAATGTCTACAATATAATATAGAATAACAAAAAAGAAGTATATACTTTGACGACAGCTACAGGATTTGAACCTGTGCGGCTAGGTACTTGTTAGTTCTCAAACGTTACGACAGGAACACTGTAGGATACTTACGCGAACCCAGCAGATGACGGTTTAACCAATTAAGGCAATTCGAGTCTGCCGCCTTAACCACTCGGCCCTGGGGAGGTCAGTATAATGCCCATGGTTGAAGACCTAGAGGTAATCTCACAAACTGTCTTAACAAATGTGTGCATAATTTGTAGCAATTTTCCGACGTGCGCCATTATCAAGTCCTGGTTTTTGAGTCACGTGACCTATCGAAGCGGTCGATCGATATCGGTATGGCTATGTTGAGCATATCGAGACTGGGCAACGGACCTCGTACCACGGGGCACACAAGAAACGTGAAACAGAACGTTTACTGCCGAAGGAAAATGATATATTGTTTCAGAAAGTGCAGATCCCTGATGCGTCCACCAGAGACTCTACTCGCGTCCAGACTCGAGCCGACAGAGCCCAGCGCACAAAGTGGAAGGAGGTAAACGGCAGGAAAGCACCAATTTCAATCCGCCTTGTACATAGAACGTGTTACATGAAGAGTGCTTCCTGCTCCTTCTGCATCCAGAACCTGCGGACTAAGATAGGGGGCAACGGACTAAGATAGGGGGCAACGGACTAAGATAGGGGGCAACGGACTAAGATAGGGGGCAACGGACTAAGATAGGGGGCAATGGGGGGCAGAAATGTCTCGCGACAGCCTTGTAGGTACAAAATGGTGGTGGAGAAATGAACAGGGGGAACAGTGTCGCATGCAACGCTCGAAAATCCTCCGCTGGAACCATAGCCATGTTGTCAATCACTCAACCCTGCTAGGCCAGCTAAAACAGGGGCGACTTTGGTCTCGTTCATCGGCCATGGCGTGAAGGCATATCGTAGATAACAGCCTCTCCTGTCTTTGGCGCCCGCGCTCTTTGGCAGGAGGAGTTTGTCATTTTAATTGCAATTGACATGGCTGTTTCGTATGGCTGCAAAGCATCGCTTTACATGACCACGCAGGTGTAAAGTTGAACAGACATAATTCAGTCTTGATTGTTTCGATGAGATCGAGATCGTTTGGCTTGTTTGACTTGTGTGGATTTGAAGGCTGTTTACATAACAACGCAGGTATACAATTGAACAGACATTTTGAAAAGAGTGTATTGTAGTTAGTTGGATTTGAACGAGTGTGATTGGGGAACGAAAACCTGGGTTGGCGAGCTTGAGAGGGAATATATCTGCGTACCACTTACCGTTTTCACCATGCAAATGTCAATGCCAGCACAAAGGTGCCATGAACGAAAGCAAATGGTAGACGTTCTCAAGTGCCAGTCTGGTTGATCGAGTATTGGGAGATGTCGTATGACAAAGAAGCTTGCAAGGCTGAGGTCAGGGAGGCGAGGCTTGATATTGTTGCCCGTTCTTAGTATTGTTCTTTTCCACACAAAGGCGCTCGGAGTATCACTACATCGATCACCCCACCCAAGCGGATTAGTACCAGATATTGTCAGCTTTGCACATTCTGCTTCAAGTAAGTCTGGACCATGCTCGAGTGACGCTGGGACGTTTGCTTCCATTGTTCTATACTTGATTCTTGTCTAATACCTAAAACCGGCTGAACGGTAGCCATTTTCCGCGAAGAGTGATTATCGCCTGGACAATGTTAGTCGAGCACACAAAGAGACCTGAAGAGCTTACCCATGCATTGCCGTCCTTGTCGATTTCCTTCTCAACATGAGTCGAGAAGGAAATCGCACTCATGATGCCATCGCCAAACTTCTCATTCAAGACTGCCTTGTAGGCATACCCATAGTTCTGCACAATCTCATACAAGCGGTAGATCAGAGGCTCCTTCGGCGGCATCTCGATGCTCTTGCCACGATCAGGGAATCCGCTCAGCTGTTTCTCGAGGGTCGCATGCTCAATGCCAAGGTAGTCCGACAACTTCTGGATATCTTCGGGCGAGGCTCTGGCTTGTCCGTAAAACATGGCAGCTATCGCGACTTCATCTCGTCCAACCTCTTTGGCAATCTCCTCAAAGCTGACCTTCTTCTTTGCCTTGGCTTCGAACAGTGTGGTAGAGGATTGTGGTAGGACAGGGTGTTGCGATACCTTCTCGTGTTAGCTTTGCCTGCCAAGCAGTAGGTATACATACATCCAAAGTTGCTAGAGACATGTTTGAGGCAGGTCGAGTGAGCTGCGATGGGGTTGATCTGAAGCTGCGGAGGGCTGTTTGGGGTCTTGACTTGAAAGCTGTGAGTGCAAGACGTTGTAAAGGAAGCACACGAGAAGACATGGTCAAGCACGAGCACGGTTAATATATAGCCAATCCAAACACCGTGCAAAACTACCGTGGAGATGTGCACTTGACGATATTTGTATTTCGTTCCATCATGGTGGAGGGGGCTCGAGGTGAGCTCCCCGCATTGCCGTCACTCCGGGGCGTCATCATCCCAGATCCGCTCATGCTTGTTGCCCGGGCCTAGAGCGAGTTGAGCTGCATCAGAGATAGGTATATCCGTCTTGGGAATATATGTGTGCCAATGCGACGTAGTTGATAAGAAACGTAAGAGCTTCGACGCTTTCGAAGGCGGCTTCCCAGGTGCTATATCGGACGCGGGGTACCCGCTAATAGCAGCAACGAGGCGCAGCAGCTCGTGCTCGTTCGCACATACAGCCTAGAGCTGAAGCTCAGGACCATCTGATTGGTAGATGCATGGCTCCGTCTATGCCTTCACTCGACCGACGTGCATGAATCAGCTGAAAGCTCACTTATGGATGAAACACTCACTCCCTCTTTCGTTTGGCCCAGGCCGTTGTTTTCCTGCTAGGTCCCGCTGTAGGTTCTCGTCCTTCTCCTACATACATAAAGTTTCATGTGAGACGAATCGATAACCCAAAGATATCCTGATATGTCTTACCAACAGCGACCGGAAGACGACGGCCTCGCATACGGAGACGACTACAATCAATCCCGTGGGAGTAGTGGACAGGGAGGAACAGATCGGTCACTCCTTGGGGATGTCGGTAAGAAGTTGAAGTCGCAATTCGACAAGTACAACAGCGGATCTTCATCGTCGCCCAATTATGGCTACAGCAGCTCAGGCTCAAACCAAGGATATTACGGCCAACAAGGCTCAAGCACAGGATATCCCCAACCCGGTCAATCGCCATACCCTGGAGGCCCGCCTACTCAGCAGCCTCAAGCACGACCAGACATTGCCTCGAAGCTTCTTGGTGGCCTCCATGGCACACTTCACAGTATCGGCTCCGATGTTTCCAACTTGCTGGGACCAAGTAACAGGCCTCCGCAGCAATACCCGCCCCCAGGTCAAGGGCAGACCGGATATTCCAATTATGCTGCTCCACCAGGTCCAACCATAACCCAGTCAGCTCCCAATCGATATGACAGCTTTGCCTCGGAGAAGCCGGGAAATGATGTGAAGTGGTATGTTGATGGTTGTGGTTATTTCTGGGCAGTGAGTCAAGCTCTCGAGGGAGCAAGGCAATCGATCTGGATCTTGGACTGGTGGCTATCTCCCGAACTATATCTTCGGCGACCACCTTCGCAAAACGAGCAATGGAGGCTGGACCGAACCCTGCAACGTGCCGCTCAGCGTGGCGTCAAAGTCAAAATAATCGTGTACAAAGAAGTCACCCAAGCCTTGACTTTGTCTTCGGCTCACACCAAGCATGAACTCGAGAAGTTGCATCCGAACATCGCCGTGTTCCGCCATCCTGACCATCTCCCAGACGCTCAGACTGCGCAGTCATCCCTGATATCCTCCCTCCAAGGGTTGAAGTTGGATGCTGCAGGTGCTTCTAAACTTGGTCACGATGCATTAAAGGGCATTTATGGTGTCACTGACGATGTCATCTTGTACTGGGCGCACCATGAGAAGCTCTGCTTGGTTGATGATCGGATTGCATTCATGGGCGGGCTAGATCTCTGTTTCGGACGATGGGATACAAACCAGCATTCTATCGCTGATGCTCATCCGTCAGATATCAACCAGATTGTCTTCCCAGGGCAAGATTACAACAACGCCAGAGTCATGGATTTCAGTGATGTTGCGAATCCGTTCCAGAACAAACTTGACCGCACCAAGAGTTCGCGAATGGGCTGGTCCGACATCGCAATTTGTCTACAGGGAACTGTTGTACAAGATTTGCGGCATCACTTTGTCGACAGATGGAACCTGATCTACGATGAGAAGTATAATGTGCGGAAAGACCAACGATACTACAGACTTCTGGACGATCTGCCTCATACTGCAAGTGGTCCAGGCCAACGCCCTCAATCACGCCCCCAGTCCCAGTCAGGTCCGCAGGCTCAGGCAGGCTTCCAACCTTTTCCAAGCCCTTATGCACCACCGCCTGGCAGTCAACCTTACACTGAGCCTGCCTGGCACACAACGAACAGACCCCACACACCAGGTGGCGCATACGGTGCTGCGCCGAATCCTTCAGTCCAAGGTGCACAGAGTCAGCCTCCATCAGCGCAAATTCCTTATTCTCAAGTCGCTACTCCTCCACCACAAGGCTACCAGTCTCCACCACCACCACCTCCGATCGGGTACAGCCAGGGACCTGATCATACCACCTATCAGCCTGCTGCCGATCCTTACGGGCAACATGGATCTCTGGCACAAGCGCCTACCCATGGTTCCACTGATGCATATGGCCAGGTCTCAAGCCCTCCACCACAGACACAACAGCCCGTTTCGCCGAGCCCTTCCTATCAACACCAAACCAGCGAGACTTATCAGCAGAACTACCCTCCTCCACCTCCTGGGCTACCTCCTCAGACCACTTCTCCCCCACCATCGACCTACGCAGCATATCCCCCTCCACCAAGTGCAGTCCCTTCTTATGCGCCTTACCAACAAGGTCCAACAGAGCTACCATCCCAGTCGCAGTCCCCAGGTCAACCATATCAACATCAAACCTATCAACCCTATCAGCAACCAGGGGCCCAACAGACTCGAGGCTTCGACGACTATCCTCAAGAATCCAGTCGAGGCTTTGACGACCAGGGCTACGGCAACGAGAACGAGAGAGGCTATGGGGGCGAACGAGGCATCCGTGGAAGATTTGACCAATACAAACAGGAAGGCAGATACCTGGGCCAGGAACTCTCCTC